TATTTGTTTGTTATTGTAACCGTTGCCAATAGATTTTAAAAAGAAGTTGAATATGTCTCTGAATTTGTCAAATCCCGTTTTATCTTCAAGCATAACTATTTCTTTAAGAGCAACTGTTTATGAACTCTTTAATTCATTTTCAGTTTTATCCAAGTTGAATTTTTTGTTTCTTGTATTGTCTTTGCTTCATTCTTTTTTATTTGTCATTGACTTAACAAAGTTCGCCATCATTTTCACGCTTTTCACTATTATCCACTTCACCGTTTTCAGTGTAATCACCACTGTCTGTGTCATTTTTGTTATCATCATCTTTACCACTATCATCATCTGTTGAACTTGCGCTCGAACTGTCATCGACTTCCAAAATTAATGACTCTTTCTCTATCAGAATAAAATTGTGAAACATGCAAATATAATGATTTTCCAAATTTTGACTTTTTAATTTCAGTCAACTTTTTGCTTATCGATGTTATCATAGATGAATCAATTTCTTTTTCTTTTATTCTTAAAAGGAGTTTGTTCTTTGATTAAAAGGGTAATCGAATCTAATTACCCTCATAATTTGTTTAAATCTGTGTCCACTGAATACTGAACGATAAAATTAATTTCCATATAGACCATACATATAATTCAAACTCTTTTTATTGTCATGAGCAACGCCGTTGAATAACAACATTCCAATAAACGCGTCGAATTTATCAAAGACAACTGTTTCCATTCTTTGCCAAAAATAACCATTCCACATTCATTTGTGATCATAATAATGTAAATTTTCATTTCTTGATTAAAAAATAAATTAAAACATTCCATTTTGTTTATAGGAGTATCTATAAAAATGGGTTGTTTATAAACATCTTTACAACACCTTTTTATACAACCAACTTTGTATAATTCCCATTCAAATATGTTTATATTTTCTCCTTTATCTTTTTTTGTTGAATAAACATATTTTTTGATTGAAAGATATTTTGGTCGACTTAAACTTGTGTTTAAATTTACAAGAGAAAAATATTTAAAAGACTTTGTTTCTTTTGACAACCTCTCTGTTATAAGTTGTTGCTTTTTGCAATGAAGACATTGAAATTAATCCCCTTGAAAATCAAGATGCAACAAACTATATTAATATAATGACCAATTATTTAAATAAAATTGAAAAAAGAAGAGAAGCACATAAGAAAAGTAGTTTAATATACAGAAGACGACAAAGGGAACAATTTGATGTTTTAGAAAACAAACTTAGATTAATACAAGAAGAAAGTCAAAATTCAGAAGAAACAAAAATTAAATTCTTTGATTTAAACAGATTTGTTTATTTGTTTTTAATACAAAAAAATGATTTTTGTTTATAGAATATGTTTGAAAATGGCCAAACTTTTAAGATAAAACGTGATCTCATTAGAGCACTAAAAACAAACAAACTTCCA